GTTAATTCAGCATATCCAATGAAGGATCAGGCATTGTATTTTGTTGTGTGATTTATGTCATTTTAGCTTCCTTTATTATTGAACAGCTCTCCCAGCCTATCTATCTATCTATCTATCTATCTATCTATCTATCTATCTATCTATCTATCTATCGATCTATATCTTTTATGACATTAACATTTTTGAAGAGTTCAGGCCAGTTGTTTTTCACAGTGTTCCTTAGTTTGGATTTGCCTAACTGTGTGCCCGTGGTTTAGACTCAACCAAGGGAACCACGGGTGGGAGGTTGTGTCCTTTTCAGTGTTTGGGAGAGGCACCTGCAAGACATTTCTGAAAAGTTCCTTTTGCAAAAGAAAAGCAAGCCCCAAGTTCTTCCTGCAAGACGAGCATTTAGCTTTGAATGCCTCCTCAGTTGCTACTGTGTGCAAATCTCTTTAGCAAGGCATTTTCAGGAGGGACTGATTAAGAATTATAGTTTAGATTTTAGTTAAATGCTGTCACTTAGCTTTAAAACATATGTTCCCATATTCCCTGCATCAATGATGATTTCTATTTTATTACTCTTTGAATCATGCCTCCCTCTTTGGGAATATATCTCTTCAGTTATTATGTAACATGGTGGAAAAGTAGGATCAGACTTACAAAATGTGAGTCACACGCCCATTTTTCCTACGCCTACTTGAGTCTTTTCCCTGGTGTGCACACGGCTGACTCCCTTACAGTCTCCAGATCTAAATATTCCCTCTCCAAGTGGCCAATCCCAACTTCCCTCCTGAAAACATCAACTACCACTCCTACCTGTATCCTCAATCCCTTTCATCCCCCATATTCTAAAAAATAGAGACAGGGGACTGGGCGTGGTGGCTTACACCTATAATCCTAGCACTTTGGGAGGCCGAGGTGGGTGGATCACCTGAGGTCAGGAGTTCAAGACCCAGCCTTGCCAACATGCCGAAATCCTATCTCTACTAAAAATACAAAAATTAGCTGGGCGTGGTGGTGCATGCCTGTAATCCCAGCTACTCAGGAGGCTGAAGCAGGAGAATCACTTGAACTCGAGGGGCGGAGGTTGCAGTGAGCCATGATCACACCACTTTACTCCAGCCTGGGCTATAGGTGAGACTCTTTCTCAAAAAAAAAAAAAATAAAAGGTAGAGACGGAATCTTGCTACTTGCCCAGGCTTGTCTTGAACTCTTGGCCTCCAACAATTCTCCCACCTCAGCCTTTCTAGTAGTTGCTGGGACAACAGGCATGCGCCACCATGCCTGGCTTCATTCCACCTATTTTTTCTCTCTCTCCTTTTCAATTCTTATCTCTTGTTATCTCCAATATCCAATATAACTTACTTATTTGTGTATTTATTATC